GTGTGTGTTTGTGTGTGTGTTTGTGTGTGTGTGTGTGTTTGTGTGTGTGTGTTTGTGTGTGTGTTTGTGTGTGTGTTTGTGTGTGTGTTTGTGTGTGTGTGTTTGTGTGTGTGTTTGTGCGTGTGTGTGTGTGTGTTTGTGTGTGTGTGTGTGGTGTGTGTGTGTGTGTGATTTTGTGGTTGTGTGTGCTTGTGGTTGTGGTTGTGGTTGTGACGGTGTTGGTGTGGCGGTGGTGGCGTTTGTGTGTTGGTGTTGGTGTTGGTGATTCTGTCGATTGCAGGGCACCTCAATCGATATTACATGGGTAAGCGAGGGACTAGCCCAAACAAAATGCTGTAAGTGTCCTCACCTGCGTCATCTGGAGGTGAGCATGTCAGCCTTGCAGGACTGTCATTAATTGGCATGAAATGGGGTCAGACAGTTTTGAGAGAACCCTGCGAAGCCCGCAAATGCTGTGGGACTTGCTTGAACAACAACTTCAAGGCCCGATATTTCGACGTCATAGCTCGAAATTGGAGGCCGCACAGCTTCTTGAGTCTCTGTTCCTCTTGGAAGCCGATTGAATCGGGTGTCAGAAGCTAAGGATCCTATCCAACACTGGAATGGGACGGTTTCCTTAAGTCGACTGACGGCTTCCGATAGGACGCCTCACTGCTCATTCACCACTCCGGAGCGGGCTTTCCAAATAGGGCGCCTTCGGGGTGCTTTCCCCAAGAGTCCCAAACCTAGATTTCCCAAATAGCCTTGTTCTCCATTGTCAATGTAGGACATACCCAAAGGGTGTCTCAAACGAGGCCCGTTGGATGATGTTTTCAAAATGCCATGATTCATTACCCCAAACAGGAGGAACTAAGCAATTGCACATACGCATGTGTTTCTCCTATCCAATTCCTACTGTTTGAGCCCTTCTGCCGCGCTCGCTATTCTTTCCTTTCGTGTTATTGTTCTTATTATTACTAATTATTATTGTTATTATTATTAGTTCTTAGTATTATTATGAGTAGTAGTATTATTATTATTGTTATTATTACTATTATTATTATTATGATTATTAGTATTATTATTAGTAGTATTATTAGTATTATTAGTTTTTATTATTATTATTGTGATTTATTATTTATTATTATCATTATCATTATCATTCTCATCATCATTATTATTATTATTAATTATTATTATTATTATTATTATTTTTATTATTATGTTCATTATTTATTGTTTATTTATTATTATTATTATGTTCATTATTTATGATTTATTTTTTATTATTAGTATTATTAGTATTATTATTAGAATTATTATTATTATTATTATTATTATTATTCTTATTATTATTATTATTATTACTATTATTATTTATTATTATTATTATTAGTATTTTTGTTATTGTTATTGTTATTACTATTATTGTTATTATTATGTTCATTAGATTATTATTATTTTCATTATGTGATGATTAATGTTACTAGTATTATTAGTAGTAGTTTATTATCATGATTATTATGATTATTATTGTGGTGATTGTTATCATTATTATTATTATTATCATTATTAGTATTATCATTATTATCCTTATCCAGAGCACCTGCTGAGTCCATGTTACAATGTGACCAACGGTTTTCCTGTTGGGGTACTGTTGATGCTTTCGGGGCACACCATCTTGCGGCAGCAATTGCAGGAGGCGCCACACGATCCGGACGAGATCCATGTGAAGCAGGATGCCGGCCCCCCAGCTCGCGTCGCTTGGGGAACGTTTGGGTCCCTGAAGGGTGGCTTGGAACATCCGCGTTTTCGGCCAACTTGAAAGGAGGTTGCTCTTGTTTGTTCAAGCAGCTTGGCCCAAGTCGCTCAGGAAGTAGACAAAAGGTAGACCTACAGTTTGGACCTTTTTTTGGGGCCAATCCACTCGATCGGAAGTGAGTTTTGGTGCGATGAAAGGGCCCCATCAGCTTGTCAGCAGCTGGGCTAAGTCTGGGCAGTCGGGTCCTTCTATTTGACTTGTTGCGGATCTATCCTTGTAAGATGGAAGTGGGGCAGTTTTGGAAGACCTCCATCTTGGCTCCCGGTGTCCACGTCCATCGGAAAAATGGCAACCGTTTGACCTGTTCGTTTCTCTTTGGTCAATCGAGGTTCCAACCGGTGGACGATTTATGTCCAGTCTGGGGTTCGACTAAGGTTCACTCACCGGGAAAAGAGTGACTCACACTCTGTGGTATTCTCAGCAAGCCAGTTTTCTTGCTGGTTCCAGCAGGGGATGCGAGAATGACCCCTTTCAATTATCCCCTTGCGCCTAGGGAATCCCACCGGTTCATTCCCAACACCCCGGGTCATTCCGTACCTATCGCAAGTTTGGGGTGAGGTCCCCTTTCAAAGTACTCGGCGATCCGAATTGAGCGCCTCACGAGGATGTGACTCTGGTGTGATAGGGAACCGAGTCCGGCTGTCAGGAATGAACCGGTTTTGGGGTTTGGAGCCATAAGGGGATGGTTTTTCTCGGGTCATTGGAGGCTCGAATCGCTTCGAGTCGGCCAAAGTTTGAGAGACGAGGTAATGGCCTTAAGGACGAGCTGGTTGTTGTTCCATCTATAGTTCCATGGAACCAGATGAGCCACGTCAAAACCCGGGGATTGGCGATTAGTAAAGGGACGCTCCCAGCCAGAAACCGCTGCGGCAGCCTTTATTTTTCCTTACATGGTTCTGGGTCAACCATTTTAGTACCTGGTTTTGAGTGGGATTCAGATGAGTTTCCTGGAAACCTTACCGTTGAACAACCCATGGGGAAGGCCGATGAAGATAGACATCATAGACACCACGGTGAAACACCCCCTTCCAGCCCCACGTTTGGCTATCCCCGTACTTGTCCAAAGCGAATTGACCTTTTGACCTGTTGGGTTCCCCGTTGAGCAGACTGCTATTGGGTTGGATCTTTAGACTTTAACTTTTTGGTTGAAATCAAGGGGGGGGTTCCGCTAAACCCCCCACAAAAAGTTATGAACTTTTTGCAGAGGGGCCCGAAAGGTGAACCTTTAATTCTGTGTCCTTTGGGCAAACTAAGTCCCCCAAGACGGCCTCCAATAGCCCCCAAGGGCCGGTGTTTTGCATGTCAACCGAAAGGACTCGTAAACCTTTCGGATTAAAAGGGGGGGGTCCTCCGGGTCTGCGGTCTAAGCCTCTGTTGTGTGCGTGCGTGTGTGTGTGTGTGTGTCATTTGTGTGAGTCACCTCGTGTCCCTAGGCTCAAGGGGACACCAAGGAATGGGACGCCCCCCCTTTTCTGTTGGGCGCCAGGTATCATATCACCTGGAGCAGCTTCACGGAGGGCCCGCCCAGCACCAGATGGGACTCTCCTTCGGAAGGCGCGGGGCTGGAAGACCTTTGCTTGGGCTTTAGTGGCTTTCGTTGCGTCCGTTTAAGAACTGGCCAACCCCCCGAAAAAATGGGAGGGTGGGGGGGCCAAAAAAAACGGGACAATCTAAATGGGTGTGTCTTTGTTTGGTTGGTTCTCCTGGGAATCACCCTTTCAACGGGGTGACTTTGATCGTGAACTCATTGGGCCAGCCTTTGTTTGACTGAATTGCAAGCGAATCGACCTCAAATGACCCTGAAAAACTTCCCTTTGGTTGGTTTTTCATTTCTGGGGTCCTTTGGGCTGAGTTGATTTTACCCCCGTTAGGTAGGTTTCTCTGGGCCTTCGAAGCGAAGCCCCCGCCCAATTTGTTTGGGGATCTCCTAAAAGAAGACACGCCCGACTGTGTTTAACCAACAGAACCCAGGTGGAAACAGCTGAGTTTGCAAATGATTTCTTTGGGCAGCAGAGGAGAAGCTTGGCTGTGGTTGGCTTCTGTGTTGGACCCAGGTGTCAAATGCTGCTCAAAAGACATGCACACGGAGCCCCAGCTAGTGTTGGCCGTTTTTCCAAATAACCGACCCATATCCCATTGTGATTTGTCCAAAGCAACCACACGGGTATGGGTAATTTGATTTTTCGTCAGACCCTCTTTTTACAGTCCAGTCCCATCTTCTCATGTCACACATGGTGTGTGCTAGAGTGGCTTTTTTGGCGGTTGGCTTGCTGTCACCATCTCCCTGCAGTATGGCTGTCTCCCGCGGAGCTCTCAGAGTGAGCGGCCGGTGCTCAGGTTCGGGAGAAGTGGAATGCCTGTTGAGTACGTTGGTTGCCTTTTTTTGGGGGAATGTCTCTTCAAAACCAGGCAAACAAAACCATGCCTTTTTGTTCCCCCATGGCCACTTGGCCCCCTGGGCTCGGGAGGAGCAGATGGCTTTTGACCTCTGGACAGAGGTGGGCGTGAGTAGCCCTTTTGCCGGGACATGAAATGGCAGCACCTCTGCGACCCCCATCCAAACCGGTGGTCTAGAAGAAGGCCGGCGGCCAGGTATCAACTGGAAGCCCAACCAGGGGGAAGAATTCCCGGCATGTCTCTAAGGTGCGATGCAGCATGTGAAGAAGAGCATCGATGTGGCCCCTTGGCCGAGCCAATGGACCGTGGGACTCCGCAAAAGGTGTGTTGAAAGTGTGGCGGTTGCTGGTTCTGCTGGGTGATCAGTGGCCGGTTGCATTCCAAGAGCAGCACTCCAATTACAAACTTCTTTGTGCGCTTGAGATGTACGGCCTGCAGCCTTTTTGATCCAGTGGCATCGCCCCTTTCCGTTTTGTGTGCCATGCTCCGAATCTTCCTATGCTTCACGGCAGTGGCCGCGCAAGGTGGATTGCAGATTCAGAGGCTCAACAAGAACGAGACTAGTGCAGATTCCGAGTACCTGGAGCCTGACCCTATGTACGACTACTACGATGAGTTGATGAACACCAGCAACGCAAGCTACGAGGATCATGCAGTGCTGCGCTTGGAGAAGCGCAGTGGCTGGGGTATCGGAGGTGACAAGCTCTGGGGCAACGGCCGCGGGGTAGAGGACATCAACAGCGGCAACGTCGGCTACTACAACGCGGGCATGCGGGGTGCCCGAAACCGGTGTGGCGGCTCCAGTTGCGCGTTGATCGTTAACCCCCCCGGTCACCGCAGCATTGACAAGTTCCACATCCACTTCGTGCGTTATCACTCCTACGGCTCCAGCCTCAAGCACCGCCTGGAGAAGAAGGTCTGCGGGCACAGCGGTTGGCAGAGAGGCGGCCTGCCCTGCCATGGGAAGGCCATCTTCTCCTCTGGCTTCCCGGGGGTCTTCAGCCTGGCGATGTCCGGCGGCGGGCTGCGCCACGCCTCCGTCATCGCCTGGCCTGCCTCCTGCGGCGGCAAGGGCACCATCGTGCAGCTCGCATATGGATGCAGCATCGAGCACCAGATCCGGGGCGACTACAACCCTGCATACCGATAGACACCGATAGAGACGCGCCACACGCCCACTGCGACAGATGCTCGCATGTGAGGCGCGCAATGCCACAATGCGTAAAGTTAATTGGACATTGTCCGAGTGGATTTTGGCAGAGGGACTTTGTGGAGGCTGTGCATGCCTTTGCTTAGTCCCTCTGGCTTTGCGGTTTTGCGTTTTCAGCCTGTCCGAGCTGAAGCCTCGGCGTTTGTGGCCGAAGACCGGGCAGTCAGTGGATGTGCAGACAAGTCCCGCCAGACCCACTGAGAGCGGTGCCTGAATTGCAAAGGTGGCGCCTCCGAGGTTGCAGGCAAAGGCATGAGAAGTTTGCATGGCTGACACCATCCTTGCCACCTTATAATTTGCACGGTGGGATTGTAAGTCAGAGGCCCCCCATGAGTTTGCTTGTTGCTCAAAAATCGGGTCCATTTTGGTGTGTTGTTTCAGGGTAGGCCCTTCACCTTGTGTGACTAGCCATGTGTTGCGAGTGTCCGTCGGAAACCCTTGGGTTTTGGGACTGAGGATTGGTTGTTTAGGGGCCTTGTTTTGTGGCTTGATTACCCCTAAAACCATCTGCCTGGGCGCAAGGCCCGCGCCCGAATCACACCCCTTGTTTGGAAGGCAAAGCAGAGACTACGATTCGCAGGGTTCCTCGATTTGGACACGTCCTTCCAAGGTCGAGCGACGGCAAGTCACGGTGGTGGAGAAGACCTACGACGAGCGCGGCTACCCCGTGGAGCGTACCATTGTCACCCAGGACACCCAAGGTTTCAACTTCGAGATGTGTAGAGATGCATACATATCGGTGGCAAGATCGGACCGCCCCCGCATTTTCGAGGCGAACGGCTTTTGTTTGGGCAGCTTAAAGGTGGCTAGTGGTGGCTTTGGGATCCTAATTCCCCCAACCTCCCAACCCTAAACCCACCCAAAAAACAACCCCTAAACCAAACCTGAACCAACCATGAACCAACCCGAACCTTGAATCGACCTTAAACCCCACCTACACCCAATCTGGATCAACCAGAACTCCTAGGCGCTCTCACACTAAACCCGCCCCCTATAAAAAAAAAATACAGCATGATGGCACACAACACAAACACATCCCAAACCAGAACCGCATCCCGAATTCCTGAACTAAATCTCCAGGGAACTAGCTGACTTGGTCCACTAACTCGTAACAAGGCCTTCTTGCTGCTCAGTTGCAACGCAAGAGGCGTGATGGGACCCCGGCTTGTGAAGCGGAATGCTTTCCGGGGCCAAATACCCAGCCATCCCAGCCCACGCTCGCGGCCCAGTGAGTGCTTCCAAGTGCTGTTGGCCATGAGCGCTGGTCGTCCAGGGCTGATCAAAGAAGAGCCAAAGAGCAGGTCGAACAAGTGAGGATGGCAAGGTTTCACAGCTCCAGACCCTTCAATAGAAATTGGCCAGTAGAGCGATTTTTCATGTCCCTTCAAACCAACCTGCGGGGTACCCTAAAAAGGGCATTCACTTACGTCCACTGCAGGAGGAGGACATGGAGCATGCAGAGTACACCCTGGACGTGCAAAAAGACGAGGCCGGGTGAAGGCATTCGCAAGCGCAAGGCTCCCAGGTTTGTAAAATGTTCATGGTGTTGGCCATTGCCAGGGTGTCATGATTGCCAGGCGGGGGATGGGTGTGGTGGCTGTGACGGTGCGGGTGTTGTTGCTGTGGTTGTTCCTGCTATGGTTTGCATTGTTTATGTTGCATGCTTCATTTGTGTGTTCTCCTTCAACGTTATATCCTGGTTATTTCCTTGTTCTTTTCATTTAGTTTCTTCTTCCTCGTCTGCTTTGTTTTCTTCTGTTTATTCCGTTGCTTCTCATTTTCTTTGCCCTCTTGTCCATTCCACGTATTTCTGGTTGACTCACCGAGTGAGGTGGCCTTCATGCTGCATGGCGAGGAAGGAGATGAGCCCAGACCGCCAGGCGGGGGCACCTGTTGGACATTTCTCGACTTAGGGTATGGGTCAAAATTAAACCAACAGGGGACCGCAGGTTTTAGTCCAGTTTCCATTTGCCAGGGATCCATTTTGGGCTTACCCTACTTTTGACCCACAGCCACTTGCTTCTTGCAAGGGCATTGTCGCGGTACACGAAAAGCTCGCACTTGTGCTGGACAATTCACGGAGCAAGCGAGTCTAAGAACAAAGCTTGATGACAAGACACACATACACTGAAATATGTGCGGGAAGGCCCAGGCCGGACAGTTACTGGATGTTACTGGCCCCCTACTCCCATTTCCCGCAACCCATGCGTACGCACTCGACGGCGCACGATTGGCGTCATGCCACGCTGCTCAGTTCGGCAAGCCCATCCCTTTGACATGCATTGCGCGCCCTGAAGCCTCGAGCTGCATCCGGGGGGATGGTGTCAAACTCTTTTGGTAACAGTGGCAGGGTCCATAAAGGGGCCCTTTGTTTGACAAGGTTGAGACATTCCGTCGCCTGGGCAAACAAGAAACGTGCATCGAGGCTTAGAGCCTCTGGGCGAGGAAGACAGGCAAGAGAGTGACGTTTATGACATCAAGCTCTAGGACAAAGCACCTGGAGCTGTTTCTTTTTTTCTCGGGGCCGGGAGCAAACGACCCGCCACGAATCCCAAACCTTCTAAGGAGCCGTGCCCGAAGGGGTTGGCACTCCATTTTGCCTTGTCAGCCCCAAGTAGAGACACCCGTTTGAGAAAGACAAAGCCTGGCTGACAATGCACGCTTCAGGACCAAAATGCTGGCTTCGGCACAAACGTGCTTCAGGGCGTGGGGCAAATGCGCTGTGTTCAGCAAGACGTTTGCGAAATGTGTGCTGTCACTATTTGCAATCGCTCCACGCCGCCGGTGCGAGATCTTCCGAGCCAATGTATCGTCCCTAAAAACAACCATAATATGGAAATGAAGTATGTAAACGGTGCGTGTATATATATATATACATTTATTATAGTGGTTATTATATAATGTATAATATCGTTATTGTATATAAAATAGATATATATATATATATTTATATTTATAGAATGATACTATAGTATTAATGATTAAATAATAAAGAATTTGTACGATATTAATAATATGATGAAATTAAAATTTAAATATTAGGAAGATACATATTGTTGTTTGTTGTATTTTTATAGTATTTTGTTAAGGATATAATTTGTGTTTTTAATATTTTTTTGATTTTTTTAAGGAAGAGATTTAATGGGAGGTATATGGGTAATATTAAGAGAAAAATATGATAGTTGAATTTTTATTATTGTTATATGTAGTTTATTAATTTGATATGGATCGTTGTATAGTATTAGGTGTATTGGCATTTATATGCTTGGTTTTAAATATGATTTATTTATGGATTCTTATTTTTTCTTTATTTTTTTGATTTTAAGAAAATTGAAATGGAATAATTGATTATTGAAAATCATAGGATTAAATTATTTTTTAAAGATTGGTGATTGAGAATATATATATTATTTAACATATTCTTATTAGAATATTGGATGAAATCGAGATTATTAAAAATAAATGATTTTATTATATATTTTAAAGTAAAATATGTAGTCGGAAAATAAATTAATAATACACATCGGATGAATTTCATATACAAAAAACATATTATGATTATGTTGATTTTGAGAATTTATACATAAATCGTTTTAATAATACAATGTCGTAATTATTTCGAAATTCTTATGATTTGTGTTGTTTATTTATCGAAGTTCGTTCGACAAACAATATATTAATAGAAATATTTTAAAAAATATATTATTATAGATATATTCGAATTAATCGAATTTATGAATTGTAATAATCTAGTTTGATATAAATTAGATAATAAATTATATTATATATATTATAATAAAAAAATAGAATAGAAGATATACATTATTTCTTAAATATATCTTAAGTCAAATTTAAACCAATCCTAAACCATTATAATCTAACCACAAGACCAGAACCATGACGGGGGGGTACTTATTTGACCCATAACCAATAGCAACGCTATACCATATATTCATATTTATTAATTTTATATAAAGAAAATATATATATATAATAATATATTGATTTTAAAATTAGTTTATACCAGTATATCCGGCGAAGTCGGGAAACGGAAATTTTGAAATTATGTATAACTATACGAATGGTATTGTATTGTGTTTATTAACAAATAATTTAATCATCTTTCTTTTCCATATCCTTTATTTGCAACCAATTCACTCCCAGTATTTAACCCCCCTATGCTTCGCTCGCGATCCTTTTTTTTTCCAACGCCATCGCTGCGTGGCGGCGCCAAACATTACGGTCTGCAGCGGCATGCATGTTAGGTGGCTTTGCTGGCAGGGCATAATGCCCGGAAGCTACAATATATAAATGTTTAATTATTATTCAATTATCTATTAATATTACCTGAGAGCCGTCTTATAACGACAAGATTATTTATGCACATAGCGATGGGCCCCGCTAGCAGGTGGCGGTGAGCAAGGCCTAATGCCCAAGATTACGGCTTATTAATATTTATCATAAAATCATACCAATGTTATTACTAAAAAACATATACCTATTATCTTTTATTTATTCTATTTCTCTTTCTTTCTTTTTTATTTTGAGTTGTTTTTTCCTATCTATTTTTCTTTACATCTTTCTTTTTTCTGAATATTTCTCTTTTTTGTTTTTTCATTCTTCTATTTATTTTTTAAATATGTGTTTTGTTCTTTCGTTCTTTCTTTCTTTATTTTCCTTTCTTTCTTTCTAGTTTATTTTCTATTCTTCTTTCTTTCTTTTTTATCTTTTTATTCCTTTCGTTCTCAATTTTTTATTTGGTTCTATCGGTTTTTCTTTTATTTTGGTTTTTCGCAATATTATTTTTTGTATTTATTTATTTATTTATCTATCCAATTATTTATCCATCCATCTATGTATTTATCGATCTATTTATCCATCTATTTAATTTATCTATTTTATTATATCTCTATCTATTTCTCTATTTAGCCAATCTATCTATCTATTCATCCATCCATCCATCTATTTAGCTAAGCTATCTATCTATTTATTCATTTATTTATCTATTTATCTACATATCGTTTTATGCATCTATATAATTGTTTGTTTGTTTATCTAAGTGGCTATTTATCTATTTCTGTATCTCTTTATTTCTCTATCTGTTTATCTCTCTACCTTTCTATCACTCTATTTCTTTATTTCTCTATCTTTCTATCTCTCTATTTCTCTCTTTCTTTATTTCTTTCTTTATTTCTCTGTTTATTTGTTTATCTAATTATCTTGTTATTTATCCGTTTATCTATATGGTATTATGTTTGGCTAATAATTTATCTAATTATTTATCTATCTAGCTCGCTTCATCAAAATATCTATTTCGAAAGCTACTTTTGTATTTGACTTTTCCGATTTTTAAGCTGCAGCTCGAGAAATGTACTTCGAACACTATTTGTGTACTTAATTTTGCGATTTTCGAGCTGTAATTAAAAAAATGTAATCGTACCCTCGATCACGAAAGTATTATGCCTGCCACGAAATTTATATCTCACCTTCCGAAATTACTTTTGTCACGAAATCTGTACTTGACGTTGCCCCTGCCATGAAATCTGCATGCGCCGCCTTATGCGTCCGTGCTAATGGGATTTGCGATACGTTCGTATTTTGCCAAAACGAAACGCTGCGCCTGTCACGAAATTCAAATCCTGCGAAACCTCCGTGTGTCTGTTTAACAATCTATTTAGTTATTTAATTATGTTATCTATCGGGCTGTTTATTTATCTATATATTTATCTATCTAGTTTAACCCATAAATGCTGTTCCCATTAAGAAGAAATAAATCATAATTCCAGAAAACCAAATATTAGGATTATAAAAATATGAAGCATAAGATATAGCTCTTCCAAGATGAAGAAATATATAAAGAAAGACAAATGATATACCATTAGAATGAAATTAATGTAAACACCATCCATAATATATTTCTCAAATTGACAAAGAAAATACTAAAATATGTTGAATTAATATTTGATACTATATATAAACCTAAGAAGATTCCAGAGGTAACTTGAAATAAAATAGTAATTCCTAATAAAAAAACCAAGATTCCAAAAATAATTTTTAATTAGAGGACAAGGATATAATTGTAAATGAGATTTCATTAGCAATACAAAATCCATATTTAACATGAGAATAATAGATTTATCTAAGGCACGAAGGTCTTTTTCTAAATCTTTTTTGCATTAATTGATTGTGGTATTTATCTTTTTCGTTCTCCCTTTCTTTACTGTAATTATAATCCCAAAACTAATAAGAATCCAGATATCAAGTTTTATGCTGTAGAAAGAGAGGAATAAGATAGGAAAAGGATATGAATGCATCATCTATTTCTTTCATATCATTATTTTTCTCTTCATATATGTTCCTTTCATATTCTTCTAAAAAAAACAATTTAATTATTTTCATATCCTAATCCTTTATCATCCATTTTTAAAAACCTTATAATGTAGGTGAACAAAGATTCAGAATCTAAAGAATGGTATTAAAGATATGAATGGATTTGTAAATTAGACAATGTGAATGAAATGATAGCAGGTGAATATTATTTCTGAATTATAGATAGGATAGATGGTTATTTGCATCATATTACATTTAAAAAAAATCCATTATAATACATTTCCATAATTTATTATTTATTGTATTTCTTCTTATCCGTCAATATTAGAGAGATCTAAGAGACAAGGAAAGCTAGTCTATTTTCATAATGTAATCCTAAAAATTGTCTAATCTCTCAACACCTTTTCATTTATTCCCCAATCCATCATTTCATCTTTAACCACCAACTGTCCCTCCAACCAACATTCCTTTCTGGACTCTGGATCTCTTCTATCATTATTAATATCTTCAATTTGAAGAATTCCCAAGATGAAAGGAAAATTGGAAAAGAGGAGATGAATGAAGTTCCTTAAGCATCTATAATTTGTTTTTTTCTAATCCTCAAAACACTAAAAAAATATTTAGTTAGCTATCATTCCAAAAATAACAAATAATAATAACAAAAAAAAAGGAATTAATTTGATGGCATTCCTCTAATCTTAGCTTTTGAGGTTTACATTATGAAGAAGCCATCATTTTTAATACATTTTCCTATTTTTGTTACGTTCTTTATCTTTGTGTTTCTTCTCTGTTTGGGATCTTATTATTTTCTTCTTTCTTCTTCGTTCTAATGCTTGCTTGGCAAATATAATAAAAGATTTGTAAAAATAAAGAAACAATAAAAGTAAAAGAAAAGATTAACAAGAAATAAATAGTTTTTATCATTTCCTATCTTTACAAGCCTTTATGCTATCTCTTATCCTCCACCCCTCACCTCTAGGCTTGGGAATTAAAAAGATTGGAATGAAGGGAATAGACCAGTGAATGTTAATAACCGAGAGGAATAGGACATAAAGTGAATGGCCTTCTTTTTCCTTTGTTGGATCCGGGATATAGAAGAGGTAATTATATCTCATCTTAAAATGTCTTTTGTTTATTGTTATCTTTAGAATTCTGGA